ACGCAAAAGACACATCATTTCTTCTTGTCTATCAAATTGATCATAACCACTGCCTACATTCTCGTTTCAAAAAAAAAAAACCACTGTCTACATTCTAAAACATTGTGCACGGGTGGTGTTATTGCCACAGCTTCACAGGTTAACACCACAGCTTTTTTAATTAATTGACCATTAACCCACGCGGAGAAGGTGGTGAGAGTGCTGCAAGTTGGATTCAATGAGGGGTATAATAGTCAAATAATTAAAAAAAGCTGTGGTATTAACAGTAGTGGCTGTGGCAATAACACCACCCATTGTGCACCACAAGTGGAAACTACCAAATAGACCCGGATCGTACGGAAAGACGTCGCGATCGCTTGTGGAAAAAAAAAATTTTTGTTGAGCCGAAAGTAGAGATATTAAATTCCTAAGAAGATAACCCTGAAGTTCTAATTACTAAAAATCCTAACGAACCTTAAAAAAAAAAAGATAAAGAACTCATAAATACAAGTTGCTTTTTATTTTTTATTTTTTTAATAAATTATAATTATTTACATATTAATTTTTTTAAAAAAATTTATAGGATTCAAACATATAATTTATAAGAGATAAATGATTTTAATTCAAGTGCAATACCACTTAATCAAAACAGGTAGTTTATCAATTGCCATTTATTAAAATTGAGAGAACAATCCAAAAAAAAAAAATTTTTGACTTTACTCTTTTTTGTTGCTCTAGCACTATTCTAATATGAATCTTATTAGTAATTTATGAAATTGGTTAGATTAAAAACTAACCTCACATATATATATAAATAGTGCTTATCAGTCTTATTTTTTAAAGATTAAGAAAAAAATTATTTAAAAATTATATTATTTCAATAAATTTTTATTAAAAAAAATTAAACTACTTTATTTTTAAAAGTATACATTAAAGTGATTTTTATCTCTCTTTTTTTAATTTTTTAAAGATAACACGAACAAATACTAAACCCTATATATATATATATATTTAATTTCACTATACCAAATATTCTACTAAACCGATATCTATGGTGTCTAAGTCTTGGAAAAAAAAGATATGATTGTGTGTCTTGCCCTCAGGTCTCGTCAAATCTAATACATTAAATTATATAAAAAATTAATATAAAAAAATTAAAAAAAATTAATATTTTAATATTAAAAGTGTTAAGATGATTAATAATAACAAGATGATATATACG